ATCTTAATAAATGCAGAAAAAGCATCTGGCAAAATTTAATGACCCTTCATAATAAAAACTCTCAATAAACTATGAATAGAGGGGAACATTCTCAATCTAATAAAGGGTATCTATAAAAATACTCAATGGTGAAATACTGACTGTCTTTGTTTTCCCCCTAAGATTGGAAAAAAGACAAGTATGTATCCTCTCATTACCTCTATTCAATACTTCTTTTTTTTTTAAGATTTTATTTATTTAATTGACACAGAGAGAGGGAAAGGAGAGATGGAACATAAGCAGGGGGAGCGGGAGAGGGAGAAGCAGGCTTCCCGCTGAGCGGGGAGCCTGATGCAGGGCTCGATCCCAGGACCCTGGGATCATGACCTGAGCCAAAGGCAGACGCCTAATGACTGAGCCACCCAGGTGCCCCATTCTCTATTCAATACTTTATTGGAGATGCTAGGTAATGCAGTAAAGACAAAAATAAAAGCATACAGACTGGAAAGGATAAAGTAAGTTGTCCTTATTTGCATATGACAGGATTATTTATGCAGAAAACTCTATGTAATTTAAAAAAAAAGAGACTCAAACCATTAAGTAAATTTAGAAAGGTCACAGAACACAGTTTCAGTTGTATTTCTATATACTAGGACAAACAGTTGGAAAATGAATTTAAAAAATAATTCTATTTACAATAGCATCCAAAAAATAGGGTATTTAGGAATAAATTTAACAATATATACGCAAAACTTCCATGCAAAGTTACAAAACACTGAGAAAAATTAAAGAAAAGCTACATAAATAGAGAAGTTCATGTTCATTTATGGGAAGTCTCAATAAGCTTGAGATGTCCATTCTCCCCTAAACATCTATACTGATTAAGTGCAATCCCGAAGAAAAAAAAAATCCCAGGAGGAATAAAGTTGAAGAACCGACTTCAAAACGTGCTATAAAGATACAAAAATCAGGACAGTATGATAATGGCATAAGGATAAACAAACAGATAAATGAAACAGAAGAGAAAGTCCAAAAATAGATACAAACTTATAAGGAAAACTGATTTTCAACAAAGGTGCCAAAACAATTCAATGGGGGAATGAAAAGTCTTTTCAATAAATACTGCTGGAAAAACCTGAAAAACAAAAAAAAATCCTTAGCTCTTACCTCATGCCATATATGGAAAAAATTCAAGATGATCACAGACCTAAATGTAAATGCTAAAACTTTATATAAAGCTTCCAGAGAAAATGTTGGAAAGTATCTTTCAAGACCTTGGGTGTGGGCAAATATTTTTTAGAGAAAACCCCAAAATCACTAATCATAAGAGGAAAAATTTGGTGAACTTGACTATAACAAACTTAAACATTTCTGCTCATCAAAAAATACTATTAATCATTTCAATATATATATATAGCCCATATATAGATCCCACCCTGTGATCATTTCAACATACATATAACATACATATGTAAAAAACCACTTTGTTCTCAATAAAAAAAAAAATACTGTGAGAAAATGGAAATGCAAGCCACATTACTGGAAAATATTTTTCTTTTTCTTTTTTTTAAGATTTGAGAGTGACACAAAGAGAGCACGTGAGCATGGGGAGGAGAAGTGGGGGAGGGAGAGAGAATCTCAAGCAGGCTCCCTGCTGAGCACGGAGCCTGACACTGGACTCTATCTTCGGACCCTGAGATGATGACCTGAGCCAAAACCAACAGTCAGATGCTTAACTCACTGAGCCACAGACACAGATAAAGCCAGCTACAAGGAAACATGGTTTTTCCCAAGGCCAGGCAGCAGTTGTAAAATGCCACCAGGGCCTCTTTTGAGTGGTTACTGCCTACTTACCAATGACGTCCCAGACAAGCTTTGCCGCTTTCACTTATTCCTGAGGGTACACATAACAGTACTCCCTAGTGAACCCCAGTTCTCTTCCCTCCTAATTTTGCCTTAGAAATAGTGAGCAATCCAAAACCAATCCCTGTTTCTCTTTCTGAATCCTTTTGCGGGAACCCAAACCTTACAAATTCCTTTCCCTCAGGAAGGGCACCATTCCAGAATTCCTGTGGAATTCCCTCCTTCAAGGCAATCAGTCTGACTCGGTAAAACTACAGGATTTTGATCATGGCTGATTAGGCCTTAAAAAGATGCTCTGCATTATGAGTCAGCAGGGAAATGAGACGGCACTCCCCATCCACCAGGATGGCTCAATTAGAAAGACTGTCAAACCCAAATGTTGATGAGGCTGTGGAACAACCAGCATTCTATCTGCTGGTGGGTGTATAATGATGTGACCCCCTGTAAGAGTAAGCCTGTCCCCACCCTGTGAGCCAGAGTTAGCTTCTAGGTATCTACTCAAGAGAAATGAAAACAACCCACGTAAATGTTCAGAGCAGATTTATTCATAATGGCCTCAAACTGGAAACAACTCATATGTTAAAATGGATCAAAACGTTGCCTTATATTCATACAATACCACTCAGCAAAGACTGAACTACTTCCTGACAACATGGCTCAATCGCAGAAACATTATGCTGAACTTTAAAAGAAGCCAAACACAACAGAACACTTACTGAATGATCCCATTATTTAAAGTTTGAAAACATGCAAAATTAACCTGGGAGGATAGAAATCAGAGCAGTGGTTACCTGTGGGGGGGTGGGGTGGGAACTGACTGGAAGGGGGCATGAGGGAACTTTCTGGGGTGATGGAAATGTTCTAGACCTTGACCGGGCTGTTGATTATCCAGGCACACAATTTGTGAAAACTCATCAAACTGTTTATTTAACATCTGTGCCTTTCACTATGAATTTTAGCTCAATTAAAAAAAAAAAAGACAAATCAGTCTTGTCTCATTCTCAGAATACTATTTCACTGGTAGGTTAAGAAACTACCATTTTTAGTCATAATTCATGAGATCCCACTATAAATTCTGTCCATATTCCTAAAATATTAAACAAATACCCTAGGAGTTATGGAAAGATAGAACATACATACTTTGGGGAACTCTGATTTGCTAAACTCCAAACCAAACCTATGATTATTCATTTACCAGGAGAGTCACACATCAATTCTAGCGGTTGGGTGGAAGGTTGATATTTTGTGCTGCCTTTCTGCTTGTATTCCCCATGGATTATTTCACTTCTCATGACAACCCCATGAGATAGGACTATTATCAACTCATCTCCATTTTACATTTGAGGAAACAGGATCAGAGAGAGAGAGTGGCTTGCGCAGGGTTACGAAACTGGCAAGCAGAAGAGCAAGGGTCTGAACTCAGGCCTCTCCAGCTTCCGAGCAGGGCTCTCCATCACTCTGCTCCCTCATGAGCTGAAGGCAGGAACCTAAAAAACTTAAGTTTTCTAAAAAGATCCAACTAAACCAAAACAAGATAAAATCCAGATCAGGCCCTGGTTATCCTTCAAGCCTCCTGGCTACTCCCTGTCTCCAGTTCACCCATCACCCTTTTGTCTCAAGAATGATCCCCAACAAAAATCCTTTTGGAAACTCCTCTTGGCTATTTTGAAAGAACCTTCAGTTTTTGAAAATCCCTACGGCATGCCAAAATACGAAAGAAGCAACAGAATCAATCATGCCTTTGTAGAAGAAGCGAAGGAGTGTGTGTGTGTTTGGTAGTAAAGCCATTTTTCAAGTGGAATCTTATACCAGACCTCAGTACAGAAAGTAGGTAAAGGTGAAGTCACTCTCTCTGCAGACCCTCGCCAGCCTCCAATTTCCCATGGCTACCCTCTAAAAGCTTCTCTTTGGACTTTGTAGTGAAGGACTCCTGGAGTTCTGGCTGATCCCCTCAGACTAGCATTCACACTCCTTCAAAGTCAAGATCACTGCAGCTTCTCCCAGTGTCCCTCCCATGTCCCTCCCTCTCGTCTCTTTGTCCTAAACTGATGGGACACTGTTCTCAGGGCAATCTCCAAAACCATCACTTTACTAGTTACATGCACCTGCTCAAACATCTGTTATCTTTTTATGGGCTTAGGCAATCCCCTCAGTCTGGCCCTCCTCATCCTGCCCACTCCTGCCATTCATCCTCACCCCCTGGCTCACAGCATGCCTTCCTCCAGGGACTTCCCTCAGCACTAGCTCTGAGCTCTAGAAGAACTCGGGGATGACCTAAGTGAGGACATGTGGATCTATTCTCTGGAACTGTCCTTCAATTGTTTCTTGTGTATCAGTCTTACCTCCTCACAAAGATTGAAAGTTTCTACAAAGTCATCAAAAAGATCTTCCTTTTGATCTAGCAGAAAGTCCCTGGAGTCAAGGAGATCTGAATTTAAACCCTGGCTCTGCCACTTAGTGGCTGATTTACATGGGGGAGTCATTAGTCATCTTGAGCCTGTTCTCTCAGGACTGCTGTGAGAAGGGAATTATTAACGAAGCTGATGATATCATAGGCGAATGAGCTTATATATTTGTTTCCCTTTTCCCACCACACCATGCCCACCACAGTGGCAGACCACACAGTCAGCGATTAATAATTTCTTTGTTACAATTCCGCCAAAATGCAGCAAGGACCTGCTCTGGGCAAGTTTGTCTCTGCAGGAGCAAAAAGACGTAGCTCTGCTCCGTGCCCGTCTTAATTTTGTTGACGACTATATTTCAAGACTTCAAAAAGCCAGGTCTGGCAGAACAGGAAGCAAGCATTTCAGGGCAATCACACTCAAGAATGCCTGCCAAGGCAATGCAAGGTCCAACCGCACTCTGATCCAGAAAGCTAATGGACAGATTTACTGGAGCTCACACTGGCTTGCAATGAGGACAGGGGCGTAATAAAATTCAGGCTGTTCTGAAAGCACTTGCAATAAAGATGAGCAAAAGCTTTCCCAGGGGAAATGCTGTCTGGCTCTTCCTGCTAGATGAAATCAATGAGCCCACCTAATTGGAAAACCAGGAAGAACCAGGGCCTAGGGGGCTGGGAGGCTGAAAAACACCACCAATGGCCATGTGGGCAGAACAAGCCCCGAGAAGCCTGCTCAGAGAGGAGCGACACTGCATACCTGTGAAAGCGTGCTGCTCTCGCACTGAGGACACTTTCCTGCTGGTGCCATCGCCAGAATCTTCTCCATGTGCAGAAGGCCGCAGGCAGGACTCTCTGCTCGAAGTAACTGTCTGCTCTGGACCGCAGCCGCTGCAGTATAACAACAAATGACCTTTATTTGTACTTTATATTATATTAAAAAAATGACCTTTAAGGGTTGCACTCTAGAGGGAGGGTTGCTTTCTACACAAAATTGAGAAAAAGATTAAAATCCTTATTTTTAATCTTTGTTGCCATGAGAGGTGAAAAATGAAATACGACGGGTAAGAAATTTTTACTCTAGGTTAAGTATCTCTTCACATACTTGTGTGTGTGTGCGCACACACATATATACATGTATGTATCTAAATGCTCTGTCCTATGTACTAAATGTTCATACCCACTCCCTATTTTACTATCTGACTGCCAGTGTTTAACTCAGTGATATACATGGGCTTTTTGAACCTTAAGAAATTTATCAGTCCTGGGGCGCCTGGGTGGCTGAGTTGGTTAAGCAACTGCCTTCAGCTCAGGTCATGATCCTGGAGTCCCAGGATCGAGTCCCGCATTGGGCTCCCTGCTGAGCAGGGAGCCTGCTTCTCCCTCTGACCCTCCTCCCTCTCATGCTATCATTCTCTCTCTCAAAAATAAATAAAAAAATAAAAATCTTTAAAAAAAAAAAAAAAAGAAATTTATCAGTCCTTTGTCACGTGTATTATCAACATTGTTCCCACCCTGTAATATATCTTTTGATTTTATTTATGATGTTTATTTGTAATACAGATTCTTTAAATTATTATGTAATTATGAAAGGCTACTACTATTTTACTGTTTATCAGCAGGAAGACAACTGACAAAAAAATATATATATATGCTTCCATGATCCAAAACTCTGGGTGGACAGAAGCATATATGTACTTGCGGCACTTTTTAAAACAGGACCTCAAATTCTTTGGATTTCCTCCTTCACTGAGAAGTCCCCCCCACCCCCATTGAATCTGGGCAGGACGGTGACTGCTTTGAACAACAGAGAATGGTGAGATGGCCATGTGACTTCTGAGGCTGGGTCACAAAGGGCCAAACAGCTTGTGTGTTGTTCACTGGGGCACTTTTGGAGTGAGCAACAACACAGGAAGTCTGACTACCCTCAGGCCCCCATGCTGTGAGGCAATCCAAGCCTCTTGGAGAGGCCCAATGTAGGTTCTCTGGTTAACTGTCCCAGATGCGCCCAGCCTTCGAGTTATTCCAGTCCAGGAACCAGCCATGTGAGTGAAGAAACTTCCTAGAGGATCCTAACCCCCTGCCATTGGAATCTTCCCAGCTGAGGCCCTAGTAATCATGGAGCAGAGATCAGCCATCTTTGCTATGTCGTTTCAATTTCTGACCTACAGAACCCATAGGTATAATAACACGGTTATTGTTTTGTAGTTGTTTTTTTTTTTTTTTTTTTATATGACAGAGAGAGACACAGCAAGAGAGGGAACACAAGCAGGGGGAGTGGAGGAGGGAGAAGCAGGCTTCCTGCGGAGCAGGGAGCCCGATGCGGGGCTCGATCCCAGGACCCTGGGGTCATGACCTAAGCCGAAGGCAGACGTTTAACCATCTGAGCCACCCAGGCGCCCCAAACACGGTTATTGTTTTAAGCCACTGAGTTTGGGGTGATTTTTCACATAGCAACAGATAACTGAACAGTAAGCATATGTGTGTGTGTGAATATATGGTATACATACTCCCACACACATGGAGGAGAAAAGATACCAAATTTACTTAACAAATGTTATTTTAAGATTACGGGTGTTTTAGTTTTTTTTCTTTTATCTCTTCCTACACTTCTCAAATTACAATGTCTATATATTGCTTTTGGGCATTTACATTTTCAAATGTAAATAAAAGTAGAAGCAACGGTATAACGAATCTCCATGAACTTACCATCCAGCTTCAATATTTGGCTAACATTTTGCCATTCTTTCCGTATTACTTTTTTTTTTTTTTAAAGATTTTATTTATTTATTCAACAGATAGAGATAGAGCACAAGTAGGCAGAGTGGCAGGCAGAGGGAGAGGGAGAAGCAGGCTCTTCGCTCAGCAGGGAGCCGGATGTGGGGCTCGATCCCAGGACCCCAGGATCATGACCTGAGCCAAAGGCAGCCGCTTAGCCAACTGAGCCACCCAGGCGCCCCTCCTTCTGTATTACTTTTTAAAAAGAAAGAAACCCACAATAAATAATATTTTTATCTTTTCCTGAAATAGAAAGAACTGATGTTCTCTTTAAAGAACTTGATGTTCTCTCATGTCATCTCCTTAGATGACATTCAGATTGTTAGCCAAAGATTTGAAAAAAAGCAACAGCAACTAAGCAGGGCTCTTACTATTTTTCAGCCCTTCTATATTACGCAGAAAATGCAAGAGCAGTGTGGAGAGATAAGAACACTGACCCTTGACCTTCCACCACTGCTGGGCCCCAGTGTCAAGGGGCTCTTTTTCCAGGGGGAATATAAGGGACTCTCTGCTTCTTTTCCACCTTGAATACATACAACCTTTCGACCCTGGCACTTAGTTTCTTTTTCTAAAAGGTCTCTACCTTCTGTTAAGCTTACATTAAATGGGCTTAAGAAACCAAGTGGCAATGTCCTTTCAGAAACAGCCACATCATCCAAAGGAATGTCAAAGGACGCAGCAATTCTAAGCATTTTCTAGGTGTGGAATGCAAGCCATGCACTAGGCTGGCGCCAAGAACTGAGATGATCCTTAGGAAAAACTCTGTAGCAACCCAAGGCAGTTCGTCCGTCTGCTCACTCGTTTGTTCATTCATTCATCTAAATATTAGTTGGCAGCTACCCTTTGTCCACATTGTGCTAAGGAGAAGAAAGAGACCGGGTCTGCCCTCAAGGAGCTCACAGTCTGGCAGGGAGAGGGGCTGGGAAACACCCAGGCGCAAAATACGCTGACAAAGTCACAGGGGGCTGGGGGAGGAGGTGACACCAGAGCTGAAAGGGTCGGAGGGACAGAGAACTGCACGTATAGTGAGAAGCACATTCAGGGAAGGACCGGCAGCTTAACTGGCCAGAGCACAGCTGGGAAGGAACAAAGAGGTTGGTGACAAGGAAAGGGTGGAAAAGTAACCAGAGACCGGCTCCCACAGAAGTTTGTACACCTTGCTAGAAAATTCAGATTCTCTCCCAACACTATGAGGAAACAGCCAAATTCTTTAGATTCCCGTGTGAGACTCTAGAGGCAGATGGAGGAGGGGGTGGAGGGGGCAGGATTTGCTTTGTGTCCCGCTCCCCAACCCCGTTTCACCAGGGAAGGCCAAAATGAGGCCTGGGCAGCACACTAATCCCTGCAAGGCCCATGCAGACAGTACCCGTTGAAGACAAACTCCCCCAAGCCTAAACGCAGCCTCCAAACCCTTCTTGGTTCAGCACTCCAGACAGCTGCAGCCATCATTCCAGCTGGCCTGCAAGATCACACTTACTTGCCATCCTGGTGTTAAATTATAAGGCCTGTGGGAGCAGGAATTTTGTCTGCTTTCTATCAGGCACAGCGGCTGCTCAGTGAGTCTTTTTCTTTTTTCTTTAAGATTTTATTTATTTGTCAGAGAGAGACAGAGCATGAGCAGGCGGAGTGGCAGACAGAGGCGGAAGGAAACTCCCCGCGTAGCAGGGAGCCCAATGCAGGACTCAATCCCCGGACTCTGGGATCATGACCTGAGCTGAAGGCAGACGCTTAGCCGACTGAGCCACCCAGGGGTCCCTCAGTGAGTCAAATGGAACTGAAGCTAGGGCTCCCGGCTGGCTCAGTCAGAAGAGCATGCGACTCTTGATCTCAGAGTCGTGAGTTGGAGCCCCATGTCAGGTGTAGAGATTACTTAAATAAATAAAGCTTAAAAAAAAATGGAACTGAATCCTTTCTCAATCTGCCTTTACTAATTCGCCAGCTTGATCCCCATGTCCTCCCACCTGCTGTGGGTACCTGTCTCACACTGTTCAGCACTGAGAACACGGCACTTATGTTCTGTACTTTTCCTAGTATTTCCTGAGGGTTGGCTAAAAGAGTAAATGAGTAATGATGTGAATGGAATGGCTAGTCAGAGATCATCACTCTCAGAGAGCACCTGTGTTTTCACAGCAGATGAAGGAATGGGGTTTACGCAGACTTTCCGCTATCACTAGAGGGACCGGGGGGAAATACCTTCGAGCTTTTCACAGCAGCACCAAGATCTCTTAGCAAAGGTCTTTTCCAAGAATCTTTCCAAAGCAAATGGGTCCAAGAATGTACGCCTGTGGAGTTACTTGCAATGAACTACTCCATACCTGCTTGTATCGCCTCTTCTGAGTATAATGTAACCACGATTTGATACACTTGCGTAGCAACGTTATTCTGAAATAAAACACGTAACATAACACATACTGCCTATTGCACATTCAGGTTTGGGGTTTTAAAAATGTTGTTTGTTTTTAAGGCCAGAAAATCTGGGTGTAGTTAACATCTTCAGCGTTAAAGGCACACTATCAGTTTCACTCTAGGAAACAGGGAAAAAGGAACCTATTATTCAACACAAAATCTGTCACCCCTAATTTGGGGCTATGGCTTGCCCCCAAATTTTGACAATTTTCTTATAAACCTAATTAGACCACCAAGCACAGTGTCTCTGGAACTTAGGTAATATGTATGAAATCCCCCATCATAAACTTTCTGGTTTTATGACCAAACTCTGGGACTTGTGGAGGACCACCTGGGTCTGTGACAAGCTCTTTCCACAACTGTGATACCCAGAGTGAGAACTTCATTCAGTTCTGTAAACCAGGATTTAGAATAATGATAGACCCTGGTAACTCCATATTTAAATATTGAGATTCTCACCGACTCATTAAAAAAAATGCTTCAAAATGGGACCTCTAACTATGTGAATTCAGTTGATTGTATTATTGGCTGGGGGGAAGGTATACTGAACATTTCTGGCAGCAAGAAAGTGAAGAGTGGTTACCTCTGAAGAGTAAGACTAAGGGACTAGAGGGAGGGATCCAGGCAACTTTTATTTTTCACTTTATACCTACCTTCCTATACATTGAGTTTTCCTCATAGACATGTGGTGCTTTTATTTAAAATTAGGGACACCCTACACTCTTCAAGACAAAGTTACAAATACCCACTTGCCTGAGCCTGCTTTTTAACACTATCAGTGCTTGAATTCTAAGATGTGAATGTCACTAAAGCCTGAAGGATTGAGGCAGGGAGCTAACAGACACATACTCCAAACTACGGTGACCAAGAACCAGTACAAACATCTTTATTCTACCTCTCACCTGATCAGCCAAAAGGAAAATGCAAACTTGGGAACCACTGGTTTACAGCAGGGCCTTTCTGAATCTACTGAGGAATGCATGGAAGGGTAAGTGCCCTCTCCTGGAGAACAGTGAGTCAGTCCCTGGAAAGCCCAAGGAGAAGGCCAAAGTCCCCACCTGCAGTGGTCCCAGGCAGCACACAGTGAGGGGAGCTGCTCTCTCTCTTCTCTCTGCTCAATCCGAGTCTGCCAGAGGTCCCAGAACCTGTGCAGCAGCTGAAGCAAAACAGAAAAGAAATGGAAGTTTATTAAGGCAAAAGGTAAAATGATCTCTCTTATTAGCAAACGCTTGCCCCAAGAGACTATTAGCTCCTCCAGAGGAGGAATTTTATCTCAATTTGGAGTACCCAGCATATAACAGGCTTACAAAATAATTATGGCTAAGCTAAAGGGAGCTCTTCTAGGCTAACATAAAAGGCAAAAAGATGAATTTTCCAGTCTATGGAAATCAGAAAGAAGAAGCTGAAGCTATTCCTAATCTGGGCCTCATAGAAGACAATGCCATTTTATTTTTATTTATTTATTTAATTAATTAATTTATTTATTTTTATTTAAGATTTTATTTATTTATTTGAGAGAGAGAGTGAGAGAGAGAAAGAGCACAAGAGGGGGGAGGGTCAGAGGGAGAAGCAGACTCCCTGTTGAGCAGGGAGCCCGATGCGGGACTCGATCCCGGGACTCCAGGATCATGACCCGAGCCGAAGGCAGTCGCTTAACCAACTGAGCCACCCAGGTGCCCAGACAATGCCATTTTAAAAGTTAAAACTGATCTTATCACCTATTACTGCTCATGACGTAGTCTTGCCAAAAAAAGTGTTTAACTTCAATCTAATCAAGCCCTTAGATCAAACCTCTAATTTATAGGAGCAACATTTAAGAAAGGAAAAATCAAGGGGCGCCTGAGTGGCTCAGTCATTAAGCATCTGCCTTCAGCTCCGGTCATGATCCTGGAGTCCTGGGATCAAGCCCCGCATCGGGCTCCCTGCTGGGCGGGAAGCCTGCTTCTCCCTCTCTCACTCCCCCTGCTTGTGTTCCCTCTCTCACTATGTCTCTCTCTATCAAATAAATAAAATCTTAAAAAAAAAAAAAAAGAAAAAAAGAAAGGAAAAATCAAATGACATCAAATGGAAACAGATAAATTGAGAATATGGAATATTGTGTAAGGCCAAATAGCCAGCCTTCCTATTCCAAAACTCAGTGTCATTGAGGGGGGAAAAAAAAAAGTATACATTATGCTAAGTGAAATAAACCAGTCACAAAAGAGCATGTACTGTAAATATGAGGTCCCTAGATTCATAGAGACAGAAAGGAGAAAGGTGGTTGCCAGCTGCTGGGGTCAGGGGAGAGAAGAATGGGAAGTTACTGTTTAATGGGGACAGAGTTTCAGTTCTGCAAGATGAAACAAGTTCTGGAGATGGATGGGGGTGATGGTTGCACAATGTGAAAGTGCTTCAAGTCACTGAACTGTCCTCTCAACGATGGTTAAGATGATAAATTTTGTTATGTGTATTTTACCACAATTAAAAAATAAACGTGTTAAAGTGGGGAGGACTATTATTAAGAGCCTTACAAGACATGACCAAATACAGTAAGTCATCAGCCCTTAGTCGAATCCTGGTTTGAAAAGGGACATTTTGGGGGTAACTGTGAAAATGTGGATATGGCCTGGGTATTGGATAAAATTAGGGAATCACTGTTTGTTTTGTTAGGCATGGTAACAATACTGTGGTTATGAAGGAAAATGTTATTTTTGGGCAACGCAAGCTGAAATGTTTAGGTGTAATGTGTCACGATGTCTGTTATTTACTTTGAAATGACTCCGCAAAAAAAAAAAAAATGGAAGTAAATATTAACAATTGGCTAGTATTTGAATTTAAATGGTAAGTATACAGGTGTTTATTCTACTATTCTTTATATTTTTCTGTACGTTTGAACATTTTCATAATGAAAAACAAAACAAAAAAACCCCCATCCTCCTACACCCAGAAACATGATCTATAAGTAGAGATAGAACCTTTGTTGCCCTCAGGTAAACCAACCACTGAAGACAACAGACTTACAGTGCAAATACAACCAAAGCCGCCTGGAATGCAAGACTCAGAGTGTACTCCCTAGGTCAGGGTTGGAATCCACAGTCCCTGACCTCTGAGTCAACTATCAAGTTTCTTAGCAAACAGAAAAAAAAATGGGATTAAACTAGGGAAAACCAAGGGTTACTCCCTCAGCTGGTAGGGCTACCTAGAGAAAATGGACACTAAGGTTTTGGAGTCTAAAAGGTCTGGACAAATCTCGAAGCACAAAGGTTAAAAGAAAAGACAGTGGACATCAGAGGTCCCTCTATACAGATGACCCTCACCATGATGTCATACTGCTGGTGAGCGAGATTCCTTCTTATTTGCTGGAGATGGGCATGGGTCACATTGTCTTTTAGGGCTCGAAAACAGAAGTGCTGTGAATAGAAGGAAGGACACAATCAGTTACAAATCAGCAGCGTCTGTACAAGTAAGAGCAGCGCCCGAGTCCAGGAGCGAGAGGCCCCAGGCACGGATGTTCACAGCTGCTCCGGGGTCCCAGAGCATTTCTCTGCTTCAAGATTCAGCTGGAGTCCGCTGCAAGCCAGCCCGCACAGTAGGCCCTTCATAGGTAGCTGTCGAACTGTTCCCCGCCATCCATCCACTGATACTGCCCAGGAGCAAACACACCGTCGCCTCCGACCAGGACAGATCCCCGTGGCCAAGATGGGAACACGACGGACAAAGGTTAAAAACATCAACTTTGCCTCTCAGAAAAAGAGACGTTTAGCTTATGGTAGTTTTTCTTTTTAAAGCCATGTTGGGGGTGGGGGGGGTCCAACATGCACACTTAAACAATTCCAAATGCAGTTCTGCAAGAGCAGAAGAGAAGGAAGAGAAGGAAGCCTTGGTGAGTAGGGGGGTTGGGGTAGTGGCAAGACGTGGGACTGGCTCCAGCTCCATCAACACCGCCTGACACGTGACCTAAGCAAAGCCCTGGGTTCCAGTTTTCTGAGACAGAAGTGAAGTGAATCGCAGAGGCACCTGAAAGTGTTGGAAGACCTCCTCAAGTGGTGAGGGTGCGGGAAAGCAGTGGTAGAACAGGGACTGCTCCCAGACCTTGCTTCATCCACAGCATCTCTACTTTGATCGATTTTACAGATTAGGCTCCCAACATTAAAAAGGGAGTCCGCCTTTGGGGTCATGAGTTCAAGCTCCACGTTGGGGGTAGAGGTTACTTAAAAAAAAAAAAAAAAATGAAGGGGCACCTGGCTGGCTCAGTCAGTAGAGCATGTGACTCTTGATCTGGGAGTTAGGAGTTCGAGCCCCATGTTGGGTGTAGAGATCAATTAAGAATAAAATCTTCAAAAAAATAAAAAGGAGGCCTGCCATGAGTTTAGAAAAAAAAAAAAAAAAAAAAAAGGACTAGATGACTTCCAAGATTCCCTTATAGCTCCAGACCCCTCTGATCCCACACCATTATCCTTTCTGATCCAAAATGAAAACAGGGACACTTGCAATGGAACAGAGCTCCATGAGTGAAGCTAATCCCATAACCAGATACACCTGAACAGCATGCTGTGCGCCTGGGTCCTCTAAACGTGGATGCCTGAGCAAGGCTGCTAAGTATTTTTGAAGCATGTACTCTGTGTAGATAGGCTTTCTGTTATAAGGTGTGTGTTCTCCTTACCACATACTATATAGCTTATAGAGTGATTTTTCCCTCCAGGTTCTCGAACATGGTAACTTCACCTCTTGGACTTCAGCCAGTTGTGCTGTTAAATATTAAACACTAAAACTTTGGTGGTTCCTGCAAAGAAAAAAAAAAAAAAAAAAGAGCCTCAAGAGGCTTCCATGCTCCTACCAGCAAGCTGCGCCTCCTGTGTTCTTCCGCCACCTTCCACTGGGCCGCTTCTTCGGCATACAGCAGCACATCTGCCAGGGAGTTAAGGCCTCTCATCTCAAAACTGTCCCCACCCTCACACACTGCGGTCCCAGGGACCCACTGGAAGGGTCTTGGCTGTGGGGGATACCAGGCATGCCAGGTGGGCTGACGTCCACCTCCAACTCCTCCTGACGACCCAGGGAAGAGGACGCAAAGGGAAACTGTGTGAGTGGCCTATCAAACAGTTGGCCTTGTCCTTCTCCCCTCTGATGCCCATTTTTTTTTTTTTTTTTTTTTTTTTAAAGATTTTATTTATTTATTAAGAGAGAGAGAATGAGACAGAGCACATGAGAGGGGGGAGGGTCAGAGGGAGAAGCAGACTCCCTGCCGAGCAGGGAGCCCGATGTGGGACTCGATCCCGGGACTCCAGGATCATGACCTGAGCCGAAGGCAGTCGCTTAACCAACTGAGCCACCCAGGCGCCCTCTGATGCCCATTTGATGACAGGCAAAATAGCTGAGATAAATTGCCACAGATTACAGCAAACATTTCCAAGTCACCCCATCTAAAGCATTCCTGTCTTCCTGCCTCCTCTGTTTTGGCACCACAACCCAGTCAGATGTTTCAGCTAAAAACCTTGGAGTTATTTTCAAACCTTCTCCTCCCACCCCCTCCATCTACTGGGCTGCCAAGTCCATCTGCTCTCCTCTGAAATCTCTCCTGCTCTTCTGTCCCCGCAGGGCATCCGACTTGGCCCTCACACAGAATGGCAAGAGTCTTGCATATCTGCTCCCCCCGAGCCAGCTTTGCCCCTGTAATCCAAATCTGTCCCCTCAAGTACAAACCTGCTGCATCGCTTCTCTTCTCACACACCTCCAGAGGATCCCCGGTGCCATCAGGAGAAAGCCCAAGCTCCCGAGCACTGCACGCAGGGCCCTACACGCTGGCCCCAGCCTGCCTCTCCCCACGCTGCCCTACTGCCATCTACGCCCCCTCAACTCACGACAGACCCCTGTCGCCATCCGTGGGTCTTTTCCTCACCTCTGCCTGTGTAAATGCCATTCCTTCCACCTGAAACACCCTTCCCGGCTTCTCTGCTAGGTGACCTTGTCATCCTCTAGGACAAAGTCAACTCGAATCTGCACAGTAGCACTCGCAGGATGTGACACACGCCTTTCTGACAGCACTTACCACACCACACTGCGCAGCCCCATTTTCATGTCCCTTTACCCCACTAGACAACGAACTACTGTTTGTCTTTGAGTTTCCCCATATTCCAGAACTTAGGCAGGAGCTTAAAACAAAGCATAGAGTCTGATGAACAAATGACCTGCGGATGGCCATCTCCAATTCGAATCTGCACAGCTGGGCAGGTACTGCAGCAGGGGCAATGATCGAGAACACGTGCACCGGAGCCAAAGGCCTCGGTCTCAAACTCCCAGTTCGGCCAACGACATGCTGTGATTTTGACAATCATTCAGTCCCCCTGAATCTGTTTCCTCACCTGTAAAACAGGGATAGTGACATCTACTCCATGGGGCTGCTATGAAGATTAAAGAGGTAATGCTTAATGTCTGCACATGGTAAAAGACAATGGAAGCTAGGATCATAATGTTAGGGCTGCCAAGAAAAAGACCACCACACCTATTTCCACCACCTAGTGGGTAGAGAAAAGCAATGAACTGACAACATAAAATTCAGGATAGTGGGATTACCTCTGAAGGGGAGGAAAGGGAATGCAATCATGGATGAGACAGGGTATTAGCAGTGCTCTAATTTTTAAGTTGGGTGGTGGGTACAAAGGTGTTCGTTCTATTACTATTCATTAAACTGTAAATGTATGTTACACATACTGCTGTGTAAGCACACTTCCAGTTAAACAGAAAATTTTTAAAAAGAAATCAACAGATATCAGGACTACCTCATATTGTTCAGTGATCGTTTCCCGCATATCCCCGGCCCTTTGTCTTAGAGGCTGTTTTGCGGGCCGGCTGTGGTGGTGGACAAGACTGGGTGGCTGAAAAGGATACAGTGTTTCCAGTGAGTGAAGGCCCGCCGCAGAGCCATCCTCCGGGCCAACCCCTCCACCTGGGCGTGCTGGGCGTGCAAGCTCTCCTTCCGCTCCCAGGCCCACTGCCAATCACAGAAGTGTGTCTGGAGCATAGTGACCCGATGGAATCGCTCAGCCATCTCTGCAACAAAGAAAATCACTACGTGCTGCCCCCTGCAAGGCTGAGAGATGAGCTGGAAGCATCTTTAAGATAAGCTGCACCCTACTACTGACATTCGCCAGGGATTTGAGGCTGTTCTTACAAAGTATCTTAAAATAAAAGTTTTTTTAGGCATGGGAGGGTTATTTGAAAGACCTTCCTAGGGCGCCTGGGTGGCTCAGTTGGTTAAGCAACTGCCTTCGGCTCAGGTCATGATCCTGGAGTCCCGGGATCGAGTCCCGCATCGGTCTCCCTGCTCAGCGAGGAGCCTGCTTCTCCCTCTGACCCTCCCCCCTCTCATGTACTCTCATTCTCGATCTCTCAAATAAATAAATAAATCTTTAAAAAAAAAAAAAAAAAGAAAGACCTTCCTACACCTCTTCTCTCCAAGGAAAGAGAATAGGTCTGTGATTTTAGGGAAGAAGGATGCTATAAAATCAGTTATATCAAAAAGTTGAAGCTTCTAGTTAACTCCTGAGGAGCAGGAATGGCAGCTGCTGTTTTCAAAGAAGACTCTTATTTTGCCTCTTAATGCTGATGTCTCTGGGTAGGACTTGAGGGACTGAGTCAATGACACAACGTGGTCACCATGCTGGCAAGTGTTTCTGAGCTTTAAGCCAGGCTCACCCTGGCTGCCAGGTCCCCTTCTTTTAACACTAACTAGCCAATGGCCTGATGAACTAACTTAAGTCCAGGAAGTAGGAGGGAATTGGTCCTAGACTTCAAATGCTGAAATGAGAGGCACATTAGTCTGCAGCTTATCATGCTAAAGAGCTTAATGTCTTCGGCTCCAGGCTTGGGCAACCAGACAGTGGGTCTCCGCCGTTATCCTCAGACAGACACAAACTCAAACTCAAACTCTCCCAAGAGACAGCGCTGGCCTGGCAACCCAGGAGGTTTCTGCAGGGAGCCTGAGGTGAAAGCCAGCCAGCGTCTAGCACACTGCTTGACTCACTTATGTGTGGGCTCAAGAGACCAAAATACAAAAGGTACCAGGGATCGTGACCTACGTATTATTACTTGTGAACGCTAACTGGGAAACTAAACCATAAGAATAGTGTTAAAAAATATAATGGTTTACTGCTGTCATTGTCCATGCCTACAGATAATTTATTTTGTATTTTTTAATAAAAAGACATTTGTACATTCCTGATAACTGAGCGCAAGAGCCATGTACCAATGTACTGCTTTCAACTTAAATCACTGAGGCATTTTTTATTACTATTCTGTTAAAATCAGGATTTTAGTGTTTGCCATCACCAGATAAAAAGTTAAGAAGCAGCCCTTCTGTGGAGAGTAAGAATAACTGTGTACAAAGTAGAGAAATATCCAATTATGTGACAACCTTTGTGTAATAAAACTTTGTTTAAAGTTAAAAAAAAAAATCAGGGACTCCTGGGTGGCTCAGTTGGTTAAATGTCTGCCTTCGGCTCAGGTCATGATCCAAGATCTGGGATTGCCCAGGTCTGGGATCGAGTCCCACATCGGACTCCTTGCTCAGCAGGGAGACTGCTTCTCCCTCTGCTTGTGCTCTGACAAATAAATAAATAAAATCTTAAAAAAAAAAAATCAACATCATAAATCACATGGATTGCATCACTGGGGAGAAGCAGAAATAATCCAAATTATCTATCGATAGAAGAATGGCTAGATAGTATATTAAGGTAGACCATCCTACAAAATGCAGACAATCATTAAAAAAAATAACATTTATGAAGACTAAAGATATAGGAAAACATTGTTAGTTGTGGGGAAAAAAAGCAAGATACCAAGTTGTACGTATCATATTAATCATAATAATCACAGTATTTATAGGATAATTAAACCCTATTAAAAATATATGTAATAAATAAAATCTTAAAAAAAAGGGGGGGCGCCTGGGTGGCTCAGTTGGTTAAGCGTCTGCCTTCGCCTCAGGTCATGATCTCAGGGTCCTGGGATTGAGCCCCGCATTGGGGAGTCTCAGAGGGGAGTCTGCTCAGAGGGGAGTCTGCTTCTCCCTCTCCTTCTGCCTCTCCCCTGGCTCCTGCTCACACATGCTCTCTCTCTCTAATAAACAAACAAACAAACAAACAAACAAACTCTTTAAAAAAAAAAAAGTGTGGAAGAAAAGGCCAGAAGGAAATAAATGTGAATTGAGGATGATTTATGTTTCTCCTCAATCTCTTTTTTTCCAAAATTTGGGGAATATGGTTCTATCTCTCCTTAATAAATTAGCACCACTAGCAGAAGAGTGGAAATTGTGATGTGCCCCTCTGTCTCCAGAGCCCGGGAGCTCACCATTCCATTGTCTCTTCACTCTGCGGACCCTCAGGTATTTGAGCCAGGCCCTCAGGGATTTCCACTTTTGCCAGTGCTCATGGTGTTTCACTGCGGAGACCATCTTCCATCTCTCCCTCTGGACGTGTAGGAGTTGTTCCCACCACCGTGACCAGGCCTGAAAACCAGAGGAGAGGCAGGAAAACAGAGGTGAGGTACACCTGAGGGAAAAGAGAAACAGACACACTGGAAAAGCTAAAACTACAAACAAGGACGTGGCAATCCCCAAGGAGGATCATGATCTATGGAAATTTGCAGTGAAGGGCTCTTTAAGAAGGGCATTCTATTTCCAGAAAGTAACTTTTTTCCTGGGTTAAGAACAACAAGGGAAAAGAGGAATTAATAAAATCAACGAGTAGACAAGAAGCAGGGACAATCCAAGGGGTGATATACTTAAATCAGATCTGGGACAAGTGGGAGAAAGCCTATGGTCTCAGGCACATTAGTTTCTGGGAAGAGTTAGCTACAGAAGCTAAGGGTCTACGGAAGGATTCCCTCAAGACGATAAATGTGTACCCTCAGCTAAGTCTTCATGTTTGCTTGGTGATATGCATCCCTAGTTTGCATATCTCAGATGACAAATTCATACCTTCTTTCCTTAAACCTATAATACCTCTTCTCCTCTCCTTCCTCTCAGCTGAATACCATTCTTCCATTTCACCAAGAAAATAAATGCAATCAAAAGAGAATTTTCTCAAGCTCCTTCCACATCCACCCACCCACCTGCCCACAGGCTCTGACTTTTCTCTGCCTCCTCTGAATAAAGTGTCCACACTCCCTTCAATCAAAAGTCACCCCCAGTATGGCTACATCCCATGGTCTCTCACCTTCTCAAGTTTATCACTGGCAACTTCCCCCTTCTGCATCATCGGTTTTCACCCTCTACTAGGTTTTCTAAAGCAGCATATAAATGTGTTACTATTTCTCCCATCCTCAAAAGCAAATTCCTTCAGGGATACAACCTCTGATTGGATCCTGGACCTGCCTCTAAAATAGCAATAATCTATGGTTTGAATATGAACCATATTGTAGATATTATCGTATCAATATTGAATGTCTTGGATAAGATGATATTGTGATTATGTAGGAGAACATCCTTATTTTTAGGAGATATAAGCTGAAGTATTTAGGGTAAACGTTTATGTTGGCAATTTTAAAGCCACTCAGAAAATGTAAGAAATACATTGATATACTTAAAGAAAGCAAATGTGGCAAGATGTTAGCAATGGGTTAAACCAGTAAATACAATATCTACCTTTTCTGTCATTTAGTATTTGTCAAAAATAAAAAGTTGGGGGGAAAAGATTACGGTCACAGAAATACTTTGTGAAAGGAATAAATCAGATTCTTGAGCAAGCCACCACTAGATCACTTTGTCATCCAACTAACACTTGAGTTCTTTCCTTTCCTTTCCAAACTCCTCAAAAGAGCAGTCTATTTTCTAATTTCTCTTCCCCAGGCAGGCTCTCATGAACCCTCTCCCCATCAGGCCTAAAGGAACTGCTCTTTCCAAGTGCATCAATGATCTCCACATTGCTCAATCCAAAAGTCAAATCCCAATCCTCACCCTCCCTGACCTGCCGGAAGCATCTGATGCAGCCAATCAGGCCTGTGGATTCTCTGGGCTACCGACAGTCTCGCCTTTATTCCTCCCAGGCTGGGTCCCAGGACCCCTCTGCTAGCTATACTCACTCCCTTTGTGCTTTCACGCAGCCTCATGACTTTAAGTACCAACTGCAAGCCAAGGACTCCCAAATTTACATCTCAGGTCTCGACCCATCCTCCATACTCCCCAAATATCCAACTGCTTCCTTCACAGTTCCTTGGGGGATATTCAAAAGGCCTTTCAGGCTGAAGATGTGGCACTCAAAAAGGAGCTAATCTTTCCAGACAAACCTGCTTCTCCCTCTATCTTCCCCATTTTACTAAATGGCCATTCCACTGTTCCAGTTACTCAGGCCAGAAATCTGGAGTCACCTTGGATTCTTTCCCTGAAACTTCAGGTCTTAACTATCTATTAGCAAGTCCTGTCAGCACTACCTTCCATGTATACCCAGAATCCAACACCATCTTGCTATCATCCTTGTCTAGAATCTCACCTGGGATTTTGTGGGGTTTTTTTGTTTTGTTTTGTTTTTTTATTTTATTTATTTAATTGACAGAGAGAGAGAGAGACAGCGAGAGAGGTAACACAAGCAGGGGGAGTGGGAGAGGGAGAAGCAGGCTCCCCGCGGAGCAAGGAGCCAGATGCGGGGCTCGATCCCAGGACCCTGGGATCATGACCTGAGCCGAAGGCAGTCGCTTAACCAACTGAGCCACCCAGGCGCCCCTCACCTGGAATTCTGTAATAGCTTCTTGCCTGTTCTCCCTGCTTTCATCCTTGATCTTCTATGGTCTATTCCTAACACAACAGCTGAAATCAAGCCCCCCCCCCCCCCAACAATTTAGACCTATGGCTCCTAACTGCCTCTGACCAGAGTCACGTAGCCCTTACTTACCATTTAAAAAACCTGTAAAAATGCCTCTGGGAATAATACAAACTTGCCTTTCGAAAAGTCTGTGGGATGCTGTTCTGCCTGAGATAACAAACACAATGTGCTGTGTTGGCATGAAAAAAATAATAACAACTTGCAGCTTAGTGATAATCACGGGATGAAGAACTTTTGCCTTTGTACTCTAGAGAAGACACTGCTAACGCCATCTGCTAAGAATGTTTTACAGTTCTAGGCCCCTAAAGTGGAACGACCGGGTCCCTGAAGCAGAACGACCACCTCACTACAATCATCCTGAAACCAGACAGGGAGATGCCAGAAGGGAGAAGATGATCAAGAAGGGAAATGTTACAGCTGACCTAACCCTCACCAATCAGCATGATACAAGACCCTGAGACCCTTCCCCTGAATTTCACCCTTTAAAACCACCCGCTTGTAAGCCAAAAGGGAGTCTGGGACTTTTGAGCATCAGCCCCGTTCTCCTGGGAGGCGCCACACCAGCAAATAGTCTATCTTTCTTCACTGCAAAAGCCTGTGTTAGTTTTTATTGGCTTGCTGCACACCGTATGGATGAACTCTCACGTGGTTTGCTACAAAGCCAGAGCGATCCTTTTTGGTTGTTTTGGTTATGTCACAATTCCATCCTTTTTATAGGACATTTTTCCTTCCTGCCTTTTTTCCTCTTTCATGCCACCAATTTCTTTGAGAAACTAGGTCATTTATCCTATAAAATGTCCCACACTTTAGGTCCGGCTGACTGTCTCCTCAAGGTGTCTTTGACTTGTTCCCCTGATCCCTGTATTTCCTGGGAACTGATAGACAGATTCATGTTAGGCTTGGCTGGAATCATGTTCAAATTTTTAGGCAAGAACACTTCTCAAGTGGTGCTGGGGACCTCCCATTACCTCACATCATGAGGCACATCACAGCTGGCTGCCACCATTTTAACAATGTCAAGGCTGTCCATGGCTTCAGATGATGGCAGCCTGATCCCTCCATTTTATTTCCCCACTGTCTTCCCACTCTGTGGTTGCTGCTTAGATCCATTTTCTCATTAGAGGTGGCAAACCAGCAATTTTCTCATTCTAGTAATCCTTCTGTAGCTACTAACTAGAATTCTATAAAGAAGCCTACTCTCATTAACCCTCGGGTTTTGCAAAGATATAGTTTATATAGGCAAGGCAGGATAAATGCTTGATTTTTGCCTTCACTAATTTTTAAACTGAGTTAATGCTCTAACAACCCAAATATGTGACCAGTGAGTTCCTTCCCCTCCCCTCATTATACACGCATGAATTTTTATATATTTGATGTGTTTTCAATTCACTGCAGTCATTACTCTTCTGGATGTCCCAATTGTTCTATTGTTAGTCTATGAAAGTCCTTTGGCTCCTGAGTCCTTCTGACACAAGCCCATTAACCTTTGTTAATGTCCTCACTTTCCAGCACACTATATCCTAGGCCTATGACGTGCATGATGTGCATATCCTGCTGTAGACCAGGAATCAGCCATTTCTCCAAAAAGCCTCTGTTCCTTTTAGCCGGGAAAGAACAGAGCCCACAACTTGGGCACTGGGAATACTAAATGCCATATATTCTGCTGCTCATTGCTTCTAACTTTTCCATAAACGAAATGAGAAATACATTTAAGGTTAAAAAATGTCCTAAGTCTCTACTGATATTTACAGTTCCAATCTCGGATTATAGGGCTTTTATCTCATTTCTTTTATATTTGTAATCTTTTCCTTGACACCGAAAATCATGATTCCTAATGACACTGCCGTGGTTACTTGCTTTATCTCACAATGTAGCTATAATAGTTTCAACATGACAATTCTAACCCTGCCACTCACAATAAAGCTAATGAATGCAGGTTTCTGATTTCCTAGCAGTTCTTCGCGTCCTTAGAATGCATTCCATTAAGGATGAACAGTCAAATATTGTATTTTAAAGTTACTTGAAGTAATTATTTTCTCTGTGTAGTCATGGCTACAAACTTAAGTTTGTTTCAGTGTGTCTTAAAATTCTGGGGATCACTTTCTTCCTTTTTGATTTACTGTGTTTTTTTTAATTATATAAAATATTTCTATGGTTCCAAAGTTTAAATTGTATAACAAAGTAAATTCACTAAAGTATTTTGTTCCCACACTGTTGCCTCTATCCCAGTATGGGTAACCACTTTTTGTTAGTTTTGGATTTATTTTTTCCATTACTTTTTCTTGAAAATATAAGACGCACACACACACATACACAGACCCCCTTTCCTCCCCAAAGGCAGCACACAAAGAACCAGAGGGATCCCATTAAGAAGTAGGGGTGATCATATCACCCTCACTCAAAGCCAGCAGCTTCTCACCCCCACTGCAATAAGAACGTAAAGCCTTTATGGGTGCAGCCTGCAAGGCCCTGGGGTGTCCTCCTTGTTACCTCAGGACCTAATCCTTCCTACTCTCTCTCTCTCATGCTCATCAACGTATCACAAGATATATCAAGTTCATGGATGGGATGACTCACATTATCATAACCATGACAATTTTCCTCAATCTAATGTAAAAAGTCAGTGCATTATAATAAAAATCCTAGTATGCTTTGATGTGGAACTTGAAAGTTGATCCTAAAATTAGTAAGAAAGAGTAAAGAAGAATAGCCAAGATGATTTTAAAAAGAACAGGAATAAAAAAGATCATCCTTTTCCATATATAAAGACTTAAGAGATGAGGGAGCCTGGCTGGCTCAGTCAGAGGAGCATGGATGGGACTCTTGATCTTGGGGTTGTGAGTCTGAGCCCCATGTAGGGTGTGGAGATGGCTTAAATAAAACAAAAGACTTAAGAGATAGATCATAAAAGTAGGAATAGTAATAAACAGCTAGCATTTACTGAGCTTTCCATATTCCAGGCATTGCTCTAAGCATATTACATTACATATTACATTAATATTGCTCTAAGCATATTACTTAATCCTCAACAACCCTATAAGGAAGGTACTATTATTATCTACTTACAGATATGAAATCTATGGTGTAGGGAGGGTAGGTAACTCATTCAAAGGTACAAAGCTAATACCAATGGAAGCAAAAACCTGCACAGTCTGATGGAAGAATCTGCTTGTTCTTACCTGCTTCATTAAATCACAATTAAAACAGTGTGGTATTGGCTCAGAGACAGAAATACAGACCAATGGAATGGAGAGTCCAGAACAGACCCGTGAAAAAATGAGACCCTGCTCTATAATGAAGGTAGATTGATAATCAGTATAAAAAAAGATAAAGGATGGATGAATCAGCAAATAGTGCTACAGCAATTAATTATCCATATGGAAGATGACAAACTGAGACCTTTTTCACACAATTTGTAAAATTAAACCCAAGATGTATTAAAGACCAAACTGTAAGATACAAGAATAAATTAGGCTAGGTTGAAATTATTAACATCTGCATAAAAAAAAAAAAGGCACCATAAGCAAAGCAAAAAAGACAAGCTATAGACTGGAAGAAAGTACCTGTAAAGTACATAACACTCAAAAAATGAGTAAGTAGAATCTACAACAATGTCCACAGAGCAGTATTAAAAAAGAAAAAGCCAAATAACCCAACAGAAAAAAGAGTGAGGGATGTGAACCAGCTCAAAAGCAGAAACCCAAAGACAAACAAGCATTTGAAAAGATGCCAGGCCTCACTAGGCATCAGTGAGATACAAGTTAAGGCGACAATGAAGTTACCACTTCACACACATCCAATTGCTGAGGAGGACCAAGTCTGGCAATGCAAGTGCTGAGGAGGCTGAAAGAAATGGGAACTGAAACGTCAGCATACAAACTGGCCCTGGAAAGCACTGGACAATCCTTAGTAAGGATGGAGAGATGAATACCTGATGACCCAACAATGTCACTTCTAGGAACCAGACTGGAGAATCTCTCAGACTCTTGCACAAGGATCTATGTTTAAAAATGTTCTCCGCAGCACCGTTTGTAATTGCAAAAATGTAGAAGTAATAGTCCATCATTTGTATTAGTACTACTACTGAAACAGATCAACTGTGCCTATTCATACAATGGCATAGTGTACACAGATAATAGATCTCTACGTACCTACAAGGATGAGCCTCAAAAATATACTGTTGCATTAAAAAAAGGAAGCTGCAGAGGAAAAGTACAGTATGACATCATTCATAAATTTCCTAACTACACAAAACCAGAACATTTCTTCTTTGTGGGTATGTATACGCACATTTCTACAGGTAAATAGACAATGCGAGAATGGCAACCTTGTATCCACGCAGGACCCATCTCTGAGGAGGAACGGTGGCAGAAGGGAGGAAAGGTAGGGCTTGACCCGTGTCTGGGCAGGTGTGGAACATGCTAACACCTTTTAAATCTGGGTGGTGGGTACTTGGGTATCTGCTCATGTTTTTATAAATGTTTTATATTTAGTGTTTCTATGTTTCAAGTACATATATTTATAAAAATTTCCCATATCTCATGATGTCTGCCCGGTCTAGTTCAGAGATATTTTGAGGGTTAAAAGAAATGCCTTAAGTGGAAGTTCTTGGTAAACCATATGGTACTTATCAGACATAAGGCATTACTGCTCATAATCCACACAATAAAATCTGGTCTTAGGAGTCTCCCACAGCTTTTAGTCCAAATTAATATGATCTTGATAACTCACATGTTTCACTGGATTTGATTCTGAGTGACTCCTGGCTGTTTTATATGTTAATTCCAGCCACTAAGCATGAAAACCTACTATCACTAAAAATATTCAACCAACTCTGTTGCGAGCTTTGAAGACAACAGTGAAAAGGGAATTCTGAAAGTGTTCTGAGCAATCGTAGCACCAGCAGAATGAGCTTACAGGCCCTCAGAGCAGCTCTTTGAAAGAACTCACGCAGCTGTAGTCCCCCAGGAACAGAGCATCAGTCTCATTATGTTTCCATGTTGATGGCATCTTCACATTTGTCAGTTTCCTCTCCTTCCTGAGATTACAAGTCTAATAAGGACAGTGCAGCAGGACGGGTAAAAGAATGGTTCTGCAGTTGTCAGGCTGCTTGGGTTTAAACCCTAGTTCTGACCTTTGCTAGGTGTCTGACTCTCGTTCAAGTTATTTAACCTCCTTAGTTTCCATAATAATAATATGGTTTTTAAAAAAAGAATTGAGGGGTGCCTGGCTGGCTTAGTCAGAAGAGCATGCAATCCTTGATCTCAAGGTCATGAGTTTGAGCCCCACATTGGTTGTAGAGAGGACTAAAAAAAAAAAAACACAAAAACGAAAAACTGAGATAATGCACGTAAAGCACTTAGTCCAGCACCTAGTGTAAGGTAGACCACCACAATTGTTATTTGCTGTTGCTACTGTTCTTGTTACTATTATTATCACTGTCAAGAAATATCTCATTTCCTTGCTATTGCCTCTGAAGACCTCATGAGTTCAGAGGTCAGCAACTTGTTTTCTTAAAAGTCAGATAATAACTATTTTAGGCTTTGCATACCACACGGTCTCTCTGTGGGAACTACTCAACTCTGCCCTTGAAGCCCTGAAAGCTGCCTTGGACAATACATACATGAACAGGTATAACTGCATCCCAATAAAATTTTACTTATAACAAAAGACAGCAGGCCAAATATGACCTGCAGGCCAGTTTGCAGACCCCTAATCTAGATGATTGTATCTGCTAATTGCATGGGATTTCCACATACTGCATACATTTGCATAGCCTATGCAACGTGTTGTCAGGTTAAAAAGCGATTTACTCCTATGTATAGTAGCAGTCACTTCTTTTTTTCCTCTTCCTGTTATATTCTCTATAACTGACTTGGCAAACCCAGAATACCAAGCGGACCCAAAAAGTGACAGAAACTCAAAGTATATCAAGGGTCATAAGAAAAGCTTCACCACAGCATCGTCTTGGTACAGATGTTAGGCCTTTATTACGGACCAAAAGCCAGTGGCTTCCCCTAATATAAGCAAAATTATATATAGAAGTCAGGTTTTCTTTACAGTCTTAGTTTCTTTTCTGCCCTCCTTATTTTCCAACTTGATGTAGGAAAACAGTAACAAGGAAATAAAGAATATAATACTGTTTCTTTAATCATATTTATAACTAATTCATAAATCCCTTCCCAGCACCACAATTAGCAGATGCGCTATGCAAGCCACTGGTAATCACATTCAGCATATTCCTAATAGCAGCCTCTATCTGCTGAGCCCAGCCTTTCATGTTGCTTCTGCCCTCCACCCCCTGCCCAGCCCCCTTCGCTGCAGGGAGGGCCCAGGACAGAGGCAGCAGCATGATGGCCAGCCTTCCGCTTGGGAGTCCAACCCCACCCTCTGGGTGTGGGGCTTGACGACATGGACAGAAGATACCAAAACCACAGTCGGCTGCACCCACCTGCAGCTGGAGGCTCAGGGCCCTGTGCTTCACAGCTGACGCAAGCAGGGCATGGCCCACACACACCTGTCCCAGTTGCTCTCTCCACTGGCTCCACCACAGCCTGCCAAAGAACAAGTCAAAGATGGAACCAGTCAAAAAAAGCCACCCAGAAAAGAGAAGGGCAGTGAGGGCTGGGCCTTGGACCCTCGGCTCGAGTCCCTATCCCTCACTGTGCCGGCCATCTTAATTGACACTGGTTGGAGCCACTGCTGAAAAAAGCGAGAAATAGTTCTAGAACAGCCAATTAAGGGTTGGAAACTGATGGTTCCTAAGGTTCCAGCCTTAGAAACTATAGATATGCTCTATTTGGAATTACACAGGTTTAAAAATATATATTTATGAACTATTGCCAACATTAAAAAAAACCAGGAGATTTTATAAAATAATCTGCAAAAAACATGGCTTTTAGATTTCCAGTTTTGGCTTCTTTTCTGCTTATTTTCTAATTAGCTGCAGGAAAATAGTAGTGAGGAAATGAGAGTTTGCAACCTCTTTTTTTCACAGAAACACTCACTTTGCCTGGTTACTCTAACCTAGCAAAATCTTTCTGTCCTCCTAATCTGGGCCAGGCTTAGCTGCATCACTCACTTCAATATCTCAAACTATCTTGCATTACTACTTATCTTTTTAAGCATTTAGGGAATTACAAGTTCCCTGAATGCAGCCCCAGCACCCAGTGTAGTACTAGGAACATTTTAAGCTCCCAATAAATATACACTGAATAAATAAAATTATGTAAAAATATTTTCTATAGACTCTAATAGAAATGCATACTTATTAAGCATTTAAAAGTATTCGCCAGTTGGTTAAGTGTCTGACTCTTGATTTCAGCTCAGGTCAAGATCTCAGGATCCTGGGATCGAGCCCCCCCATATCGGGCTCCCTGTTCAGCGGGGAGTCTGCTCCTCCCTCTCCTCTCTCTCTGCCCCTCTCCCTGACTTGTGCTCACGGGCGCTCTCTCTCTCTCAAGTATCTTTTAAAAATTTGCCAAATAAATTTTAAATAAAAATAACTTAAAGAAGTTATTTAAAATAAAGAATTTTAAGGTGTACTGATGTTCTGGATACTGTGCTAAATACTTTAGAGATTACCATATTTATTTCCCATGACAACCCTGAAAGACACTTAATGGTGTGCCTGTCTCACACATGAGGAAAGTGAAATGTGGAGAAGTGAAAGGACCCAACACTACATGTTGGAACATGGATTTGAGCTTGTCAGTCTAACTGCAAAGCTTCTGCCCTTATCCATACTATATAGAGGGTCTAGCTCTTTTGAGCTTTTAATATGCTGCCATTCAGGACACCAAAGGACCACCAGAGATAATGTACAGTGGGATCAGTCCCATTATAAAGCAGCTCATTGTTACACATGCTTGGCTTTCAAAGTCATCTAACTCATGTCTCTCCAAAGTGTGGACAGTGCTGACGAAAGGCTGTGCAGAGCAGTTAAGAGCATGGGCTTTGGCATCAGAAAGATGGGTAGGTGAGCCCTATTTTGCCAAATACATCTTATATGAGCTTGGGCAAGTTACTCAACCTTTCTGAGACTCTTTGTGTATCTTCGTCTTTACAAAAACAGTACTTAGTTTAGTTTATGGTGACGATTATATAAGACTTTACATTAAGAAAATTAACACACACAAACTTAACAACACAGGGTTTAGAACATAGTAAGTACTCAATTAGTGTTACTTCTGATTGTGTGAAACCTGATTGTATAGTGGAACAAGCTGTCAATAAATATTTATTAAGCATCAATTATGTTTGAAACACTGTTTTTAAGGTGGGTTTTTAATGCTTTGTAAAACAAGGCTGAGGTAAGATGATGGCTGCTGATCTGTAGGGCAAAGGAGTGCACTCACCACAAAATACTCTGCTGCCTAAACTCCAGGGCGGTGGTCTGCATCTGAAGTTTGGTTCTACGAAAAACCACGTAGATCAGCCAGGACTTCCAGGCCTGCCTCATCTTTTGCCTTGCATCTAGATGCACCAGAAAGATTTTCAAAGAGGAGTAGGGAGAGATACATTACTCTGGGTTATGATAAAAGCTCATGGGCTCTCTGTATTCATCCCTCCTTTTGAAGATCTAAATTCCTCCAGCCTTCAAGTGCCCCCTGGTGGAAAAGTTATGAAGCTCTACAAAATAAATCAGGATGCAAGTACACACGAAGAATGGCTATGTAAGTGATGACATTTACAAAACGCAGGAAAATCAATAAACTGCACTGTCCGGAAATCTTTTGTCTTACAGCCCTTATTTTTAGAGATATGTTCCATAATATTTACAGATAAAATGATATGAAAACAAAAAGCAGAGAAGTGAGACTGGTCTGAGTTGGTAATTGCTGAAGCCGAGTGACAGGTACATGGAGGTTCATTATTCCATCTTTCAATTTTGTAGATACGTAAAATTTTCCACAGTAAAAAGTTAAAGGAGAAGAAGAAATCATGTCATAAAACTTGCTGTTTGAAACAATAAGCAACACAAAAGAAAAGGATACCACGTATATCTATTTGGAAAACAGAATAAAAGGGATCAGTAATGATCCTGGAGAAAAGAGACTTTACTAGATACAGAAACTGCAAAGGTCCACAGGTCTCCCTTTGCGGTAAATCCCATTTTTATTATCAAAGTCTAATGAAATAAATTTCTGTTCTTTTTAGAACAAGAAGGAGAAAACAAAAAAAAAATTTTTTTTTTTAAGATTTTATTTATTTATTTGACAGAGAGAGACACAGCGAGAGAGGGAACACAAGCAGGGGGAGTGGGAGAGGGAGAAGCAGGTATCCCGCCGAGCAGGGAGCCCGATGCAGGGCTCGATCCCAGGACCCTGGGATCATGACCTGAGCCGAAGGCAGACGCTTAACGACTGAGCCACCCAGGCGCCCCAGGAGAAAACAAAATTATGTCAACCATTTTCGGGTCATTCTCCAAAATGTGGTCAATACAATGAGAGCTATATTTATGTTTCATAGCAACTGACAAGTCAGGTCAAAACATGGTCACAACTTAACATGTAGCTTCCTCAGGCTCTTTGGGCCACACTGCTGTGGTTTAAGAGTTTGGGTTCCTACGTGAGACAAACCAGGTTTGAACACTGAGCTTGTCACTGAGCTGAGTAACCCCACAAAGTTCCTCATCTGCAAAATGGCGCCTTCCTTAAAGGTGTGTTTGCCAAGAGTAAATGAGATCATCGATGAAAAGTGTCTCCAATAAATGCAAGCTGTTATTTTCTGAGGGTGGTACCCAAGAAACTGCAATAATGGTCTCTGCCATGATTCTGGACAATCTGAGAACCATGCTTCCCTAAGGCCTGAAAGTACTTGTTACTTTTTTTACTTAACAGTGCAAGAGTGACTGAAAACTATAGAACACTCATGAAAGAAATTGAGGAAGACACAAAGAAATGGAAAAACGTTCCATACTCATAGGTTGGAAGAACAAATACTGTTAAACTGTCTATGCTTCCCAGAGCAATATACATTCAATGCAATCCCTATCAAAATACCATCAACATTTTTCACAGAGGTGGAACAAATAATCCTAAAATTTGTATGGAACCAGAAAAGACCCTGAATAGCCAAATGAAAGTTGAAAAAGAAAGCCAAAGCTGGGGGCATCACAATTCCAGACTTCAAGCTCTATTACAAAGCTGTAATCATCAAGACAGTATGGTACTGGCACAAAAACAGACACATAGTTCAATGGAACAGAATAGAGAACCCGGAAATGGATCCTCAACTCTATGATCGACTTCTTCAACATAGCAGGAAAAAATACCCCATGGAAAAAAAACAGTCTCTTTCAACAAACGGTGTTTGGAAAATTGGACAGCCACATGTAGAAAAATGAAACTGGACCATTTCCTAACACCACACACAAAAATAAACTCAAAATGAAAGACCTAAATGTGAGACAGGAATCCATCAAAATCCTTGAGGAGAACACAGGCAGCAACCTCTTTGACCATGGCTGCAGCAACTTTTGGCTAGACATGTCTCCAAAGGCAAGGGAAATAAAGGCAAAAATGAATTATTGGCATGTCATTGAGGTAAAAAAGCTTTTGCACAGCAAAGGAAATAGTCGACAAAACCAAAATATAACCTATAGAATGGGAGAAGATATTTACTAATGTTTTATCAGATAAAGGGTTAGTATCCAAAATCTATAAAGAACTTACCAAACTCAACACACGAAGAACAAATAATCCAATCAAGAAATGGACAAAAGATATGAACAGACATTTCTCCAAAGACATACAAATGGCCAGAAAACACATGAAAAAATGCTCAACATCACTCAGTATCAGGGAAATACAAATCAAAACCACAATGAGATACCACCTCACACCAGTCAGAATGGCTAAAATTAACAAGTCAGGAAAGAACAAATGTTGGCAAGGATGCCGAAGAAGGGGAACCCTCTTATACAGCTGTTGGGAATGCAAGCTGGTACAGCCACTCTGGAAAACTGTATGGAGGTTCCTCAAAAAGTTAAAAATAGAGCTACCCTATGACCCAGCAATTGTACTACTAGGTATTTACCCCAAAGATACAAATGTAGTGATCTGAAGGGGCACCTGCAGCCCAATGTTTAAAGCAGCAATGTCCACAAAAGCCAAACTATCGAGAGAGCCCAGATGTCCATCGACAGATGAATGGCTAAAGAAGATGTGGTATATATATACAATGAAATATTACACAACCATCAAAAAAATGAAATCTTGCCATTTGCAATGATGTAGATGGAACCAGAGGGTATTATGCTAAGTGAAACAAGTCAATCAGATGACTTATCATATGATTTCACTCATATGTGGAATTTAAGAAACAAAACAGAAGAGCACAGAGGAAGGGAGGGAAAAATAAAACAAGATGAAATCAGAATGGGAGACAAACCATAAGAGACTCTTAACCACAGGAAACAAACTGAGGGTTGCTGGAGGGGAGGTGGGTAGGGGGATGGTATAATTGGGTGATGGGCATTAAGGAGGGCATGTGATGTAATGAACATTGGGTGTTAAATACAACTGATGAATCACTGAACTCTACCTCTGAAACTAATAATATACTGCATTAATTAATTGAATTTAAATAAAATTAAATTTAATAAAACAGTGCAAAAATGAACAGACACTCCCTGAGGTCTGTAGGCATGGCCTGAGACAATTGTCATACGTCAAGAAGAACTCTTCCTTTTTAAAAATTTATTTGAGAGAGAGAGAGTGCCCGCACATGCACACAAATGCATGCATGGGGGGGGGCGGCGGAGTCTTAAGCAGACTCCATGCTCTCATGACCCTGAGATCATGACCCTGAGATCACAACCTGAGCCAAAACCAAGAGTGAGACACTTAATGGACTGAGCCACCCAGGCACCTCCAAAAACAATTCTTTTTATCTGAAGAATTCAAGTGACTTTTCTTTCTACTCCATAATATAGCTGTATTTATTATAACTGCAAATAATATAAGATGGCAGAATGCATATTCCTCAAATAAATATGGAATATTTACAAGATAAATGTTCTAAAACAAACAAAATAAAACAAACCTTAACAAATTGTTTAACAGAACTGAAATCATACTAAGTCTGTTCTCTCATTCCTAATGGGGTAAAGTAGAAAATTAATAAACATATTTTGAACTATTTCTATAAATATAGAAAGGTATTAGAAAGTCCCCAATAGGGGCGCCTGGGTGGCTCAGTCATTAAGCGGATGCCTTCAGCTTGGGTCATGATCCCAGAGTTCTGGGATCAAGTCCCGCATCGGGCTCCCTGCTCAGCAAGAAGCCTGCTTCTCTCTCTCCCACTCCCACTCCCCCTGCTTGTGTTCCCTCTCTCGCTGTGTCTCTCTCTGTCAAATAAATAAATAAAATCTTAAAAAAAAAAGAAAAGAAAGAAAGTCCCCTATATAAGACTAAACACACTTCTAGATAATCTGTGGGTCAAAACAGAAGTCTTAATGGAAATTAGAAAATATTTCTCAGGGACGCCTGGGTGGCTCAGTCGGTTAATCAGCTGACTTCGGCTCAGGTCATGATCCCAGAGTGCTGGGATCAAGTCCTACATCAGGCTCCCTACTCAGCAGGAGGTCTGCTTCTCCCTCTGCCTGCCATTCCCCTTGCTTGTGTGCTCTCTCACATGCTCACTCTCTCTCTCTCTCTGGAAAATAAATAAATAAAATATTTTTAAAAAGGGGAAGAAAACATTTCTTACTGAATGAAAGCAGAATTGCAAATATTAAAATCTGTGGGGTGCAGTTAAAGCCATGCTTAAAGATAACTTTATTACAGTAAATGCTTGTGTTAGAACAAAGGAAAGGTCTCAAATCAATAATCTCAGCTTGCCTCTTAAGACACTAGAAAAGAAAAAACCAAATTAAAATCAAACCTTGCAGAAGTGAGAGAATATAAAAACAGGAACAGAAATCAAGGAACTTGAAAACAGAAGAACAACAGAGAATGAATGCAGAAGCTGGTTATTTGAAAAGAAGGATAAAACTAATAAAGCTCTATCCACACTTACCAAAAATAGAAGGCTAAAGACATAAATGATCAATATTAGAATGGGAGGAGCTACCACTACAGACCCTGCAGACATTAACATTAAAATGGAATACTTCAAATGACTCTATACCATAAATTAAACAACATATTTACAATGGACCAATTTCTTGAAAAACAAATTACCAAAACTCATTCAAGAAGGAAGAGGTAACCTAAATAGTCTCACATCTACTTAAAAACTTGAATTCAAAGTTCAAACTTCTTTAACAAAGAAAACTCCAGGCCCAGATGAGTTCACTGGAGAATTTTACCAAATATTTAAGGAAGAAATAATACGAATTCTACAAATCCTTTTTAGAAAATAGAAGACGATGTAACACTCCCAACTCATTCTATGAAGCCAGTACGACCCCGAACCAAAACCAGACAAGGACATCATAACAAAAGAAAAGTACAGGCCAATATCCTCAT